TTTGACTTTTCACGTGAATCCCGTCATTTCAGTCACGTGATGAAACCAGGAAACCCTTCATCTAGTTTGACTGCCGAAGTCCTGAATGGGCTCTTTTGCTGTGTTTGCTAACGGTTCCCCCTTGTGGCAAGCTGCGACATTACACCCACAGAATCCTGCATGAAGGTTGAGTGAAATCCGCCAAATGAAAAGTGTTGGATGTTTTCTGCACGAGCTGCTGGCATGAGCTTGATTTAAAGCAGGCTAGTGCCTTTATGAAGCGGCATGTTTAATCCGTGTTGCTGTGAAATAAACGATGATTCATGGTTTGGTTTCTCTGATTCTGAGAGAGGACTTCTCCTTTTAGCTTCGACGCCTACTCTCAAATTTGCATGTGGTTTACGGGCTGACTCGTTTAAGAAGCTGTCGTCAGGATTATGATTTATTGCGTTTGCAGCATGAAATCCTGCCATCAGCTGCCAGGACAGGAAAAGCTTCCACAAAGAGGGAAGAGGCAGCGACAGTTTACACATGCTTTGTAATATTACTCAGCAGTAGATCAAACTAAATGTTGTACCATGTGATCAAAGACAAGCTGATGTTTTATCGCTGTCTTGAGTATTTGCATTTGTCCTGAGATGAAACTCAGCTAAAGATCAGTAGAAAACAAGCTAGTGCGCGGATCCAGTCCCTGGCTGCAGTTCAGATGACGCATGGACATTCACTCTCTCACCTGTTGTAGATCGCTCTTTGAAGCACCTCAGGAGAAATGGCCTGATTGATGAGCTAACAGCTAGTCTAAAATCCTTTATATGGGTTTGCACAAACACTAAACGTTTGCAGTGTCTTTGGTTCCACGTTAGAGTGATGCAAGCTCATATGGAGGCTTCAACCAGAACCAGAAGACGAGTAGCCTGGCATGCCAGACTCGTCCTCTGTTTCCTTCTGCACAGAGAAGGAGTCTGGGAACTCCCCCATGCAAATAACCCCGCCCCCTGAGAATTCGAACCGAGCCAATCAGCGCCGAGCAGTGTACGTCTGGTTACTCAAAGACAGAGAGGCACATGAGAGGCGGGACAAAAATAACCAATCAGACAAAAATGCGAAATGCCGACTGTACTGCACAAAGCTGTAGTCTTTTAGATGTAATCCAAAATGGCGCCTGGCGATGGTGCAAACATCTTTCTTTGGAAGAAAGGCTTTTAGCGGTTCTTTTTGTTGTGGTTTTAACGACGTGTCCAAGAGGAAAGAGCCACGGCGAACTCCACTTCAAACGCCATCTTCGTTGTTTATGAGAAACTGAGCGCGTGACACAGGCTGCTCAGCGCTGATTGGCTCGGTTAGAATTCTCGGGGGCGGGGTTATTTGCATGGGAGAGTTCCCAGACTCTTTCTCTGTGCAGAAGGAAACAGAGGATGAGTCTGGTGGGCCAGGCTGAAGAAGAGTGTAAATGGTTTTAAAATGCCTGAGATCCACATTGGTCCAATCAGCATTCAGACTTCACATTAAGCCCGGTTCATGGATAATTTACCCATCTTAGACCCTTCTTTAAGGTATGTCTGATTAACATCACCCGGACTTGCATGTTGCAGATACGCCGGGCTGCTCGGAAGCACATCGGGCCGCTTTGACCATAAACAGGGCTTTCAAATGTGAGAGAGAGAGAGAGAGAGAGCGAGAGAGAGAGAGAGAGAGAGAGAGAGAGAGAGAGAGAGAGAGAGAGAGGGAGAGAGATGATCATTTTGAAGTTATATTTGAGGTACATTAAAACTTTTCCTTTTTTATTATTTTAGTTTTCTCTAAACCTCGTGTTTTGTTACTTTGTAGTTTTTTTATGTTTTAAAATGTTTTAGGTTTAGACTGAACTCAAAATGGCCACTTGCCCTGTGGAGGAAGTTAGCTACACCACTGTGCTCGGCTTCTGGCCAAGTCCTCCAAACACACCCACATCACCCCGCTTCTCCTCCAGCTTCACTGGCTGCCAGTCAACTTCAGGGTTCATTTCAAGATCCTGGTTCTGGTCTATAGGGCCTTACATGGACAAGCACCATCTTACATTGGTGATCTTCTTAGTCCCTACACCCCCAGCAGGTCCCTGAGGTCCAGTGATCAAAGCCTACTGGTTGTGCAGCACCAGGCTAAAGGTCAAAGGTGACAGATCATCTGCTGCTGTGGCCCCCAGACTCTGGACCTCTCTCCCCCTGAGCCTGAGACCAGTGGACTCAGTGGTCTCCTTTAAACTCACCTGTTCAGGTTTGGTGGGACCTTCATCACCCTCTCCTCGTTCTGCTCTCCCTGCCTTTCCCAGGATCCACCGGTTTCCCTCTCACCTATTCACTCTCTCTCTCTTTCTTTCCATTTATTTAATCACAATTGTCTATTTTGCCCATTTTAAACATATTTTTAATCATTTCCTAAATTCTTTTTTACGTTTTAAATGTTTGTTTTTGTGAAGCGCCTCGTGATTTTTGTCTTGAGAGGCGCTTTAGAAAAGCTCTTTTCTTCTTCTACACAAACAAACAGACGGGGCGTTTGTGGTGAAACACTTTCAACCAACAACACGTGCTGGGATATGGTTTCAACCTAAATGATCAATCAGGTCCGTCGTTTTCTTACAGATCGTTTGAACGTTTATCTGTGATGTCATCAGAGTGAGACATGCTTTAAAGCGGTGTTTCTCAGCCCCGGTCCTCAGCGACATGTAGGGAAAGCTGTCCCACTTACAAGCCGGCTTTCAGCCACTCCCACTGCTGTGTCCGTCTGCTCTCGTCAGTTTTCCAGGTGAGGCCAAGGACGTAATTATCACTTAAGAAGGGTGGAGGACACGGTGGGGGGGGGGGGGGGGGGGGGGGTATCTTTACAGTATGTTCTAATGGGAAACAGGCTTCAACACAAACTGTTGTTTTCCGCTTGGTCCTAGAGCTCAACCAGTGTCAATTTAATATAGCGTAATATTGTTTTTTGATGGTAAAAAGTGCAGGGGTCAAAACTTGACTTTGGAAAAAGTGGGGGGGCCCCCCTGTCCCCCCCCCCCCCCCCCCCAAAATTACGTCCATGGGTGAGGCGCTTCTTCTTCTTCTTTAAATAAGGCAGACTGGACGCCATCACAACCGAGCCTACACAAGCCTCCCCAGCCTCATCCCGTGTTCCCTCAGAACATCAGCAAACCCCCACCAGCACACACCCCAGGGACCACACACTAGCCCCACGCTCGCCTCCAGTCCAACTCGCCCCCTTCCTCCACCACAAACGAAGCTGAACCAAGGCGAACCTGGGCCGCCGTCTTACCGGAACTGTACAGGCCATCGGCCGACCGCCC